TCATATAAATATATTTGCATATGTACATGTCTTTATCTAGACCTCTATAAATGCCCTTTGCCTCCCATCTCTTTCCTCTATTTCCCTTGATTTTCTGTTTTTCTTTACATTCATTGTAATCTGTCTTGAAGGCTGTCATCCTTGATCTTCATCTGCAAGGACTTGAAGTCCTCCTCACTTTCAGCATGCAAGATGGTGTCATCTGCCTGTCACGGGTTGTTCATGACCCTTCTTCCTCCAGTCCTGACACTGCATCCTTCTTCATCTGGCCTGGCCCCTCTGATGACATGCTCAGCACACAGATTGAATAAGTATGGTGAGGATACAACCCAGACACACGTCTTTCCTGACTTTATATCCTCGTTCTATTCACACAACTGCCTCTTGGTCCGTATGCAAGTTCTGAGTGAGCACAGTGCAGGGTTCTGGAATCCCTGTTCTTCTCCAGCCTTGCCTGGGTGGGAAGAACAGGGAAATCCCTGTGCCAAGTGCAGGAGGATGATGGCCCAAAGAAGTCAGATGACAAATGCATGACTGGTTTTCAGAAGGGACGAAACAATATTGAAGAGCGTCTCAGCAGTCGGCCATCCACATCAATTGCAAGGAAGTAATCTTGCTCTTCGCCTTAATTGAAGTGGCGTGAGGCCGAACAGCAGAAACAATAGCCGATATCAGAGACATCTTCAGCTGGTTATGCTTACACAATTCTGACGGAAAAAGTTGAGCAAACTTTCTGCGTGGTGGGTGCCAAAACTTGTGTCCAGATCACTGACGACAAGAGCAGATCTTGCCATGGAAATTTTAAACATGTGGGATCAAGATCCTGAAGTGTTCCTTGGAAGAATTGTAATCAGAGATGAAACATGGCCTTACCAGTCTGCTTCTGAAGACGAAGCAGGATCAGAGCCGTGGCTGCCAAGAGGGAGAAGTGGTCCAGTCAAAGTATACGTGGATTTGATCAAGCACAAAGGTCATGACAGCAGTTGGGGGGTGGGGGTTGCTCAGCTGGCTTTCTGGAGGATCATAACCTCTACTTCTGAGAGTATTTTGAGAAGTTCAGCCAAAACATTAGTAGGAAAATATCTGGGAATGCTGCACCAGTGGGCCCTCCCCCTTCCCAGCAAGGGTCCTGCTCACGCCTCTCGGGAAATCAGAAATGTTTCTGTCTGTCTCCCATAGGAAGTCATCAGGTGCCCACATGCAGTCTTGCTTTGGCCCTTTCTGACTTCTTTTGCTTCCTAAAACAATCTTTTTTAATCTTAAAAAAAGAAAAATCTTTAAAAGGCACCTGTTTTTCTTCAGCTAATGTTTTTTTATTATTACTTGGGATTTAATACATATATCAGTCCATAATTCAATCACATCAAGTAAAATTGTACAATTGCTTCCACAGTTTCCAAGCTCTTCTCTATATGGACTCAACCTTGTCTCCCTTTTACACGCACCCCCCCTGTCCCCCCTTACTCTACTTGCTGTCCCTGTCGGTTCAGCAGTCCTGGGTCTCATTAACCAACAAATGGAAACGCATGTGACACAATAACCCCTCTGAGACACACTCTTCGATGAACAAATCAAAAGTGCAGAAAACTTAGGAAACCAGGCGGCATTGACCTGGTTAAATTCCCAGTACGCTCACTGATGGAGCTTGTGTTGAGAAGTAGACTTCATCTTTTTATTTTTAATCCTTTAATTCCATCTCCCCACCAGCTTTCTGCAATCCCCTAGTACACTCCCTCCTCACTTCGTTGATGTGGATCGATTTCAAAGTAGCAATTTGCAAAAATACGACGACCACATCAGATCACCAGACACATCATGACCTAACTGCCAAATTACTGAGAGCGCAGGCCTGGCCACATTGACACCAAATACTCACAGCCAGCCCTCTCTTTGCCTGGCATCGTGGTGTTCCCTACTGACAGGGGCACACCGTCCAGACACAGGATCATTAATGGTTTGTTTTGTTTTGTTACCATTGTACATGGGACTTGTTGGGTAAGTAAGGAGACAGTGGGTATGTGAAGAGAAGGTGCAGTTCTCAACCGACGTCG